TTCGGGTATCAGTCATTAGTAAGTTTGGCTGTTCCCCAACAAACATTGACAAGATTTTGCCAACAGCAGCTGGCTTCGATCTCATTGCCAAAGATGAGGATGCAAGAAAGCTGCTCTTGAGCTGCGCGGGCCGCCTTCCGCAAGATATTAGCCTCGAGCGAGCAAGAAACTGGGCTAGCCTCATACTACCCAACATACCCGTCCACATTTTCTCGATGGATGGACAAGTGACTATTTCGGAAAGCCACATTGTTTCTGAAATAGAACGCGTCACTGGGGTGATACCAAAATCCGTGCGGCGGCACGGTAAGAGCAAGTACGGAGCCAGATACTGTAATCGGGTAGCCTTTTTCTAGAGCGGATCTACCCCTATAACGGGATTCCGACTTTTTGACGACTCGGGACGGGCAGCCACAGTCCCGAAGCGTCAAACGCAAGCAATCTGCAAACGTTGCTTTGGGTACCACAGTACCGGCGGCTGCACAGGGCATGACCCTCAACATCTATTGGAACAAATTAAATAACTTCTTTTTAACATTGAAATAGTAGCCAGAATTTTAATGGTAGATTCTAGAAGTCTTTCATAGTCTTAGACTCAGAAGGGACTATAATAAAAATTCTTATCTTATCTTACCAGCGGCTGCTCTCGGACTCCAGCCTGCCGAAACTGTGGCTCACTGACGCATTCAGAAAGAGAATGTCTTGCTGCAGCTAGATGTCGCAACTGCGGAGGTCCTCATCGCGCAGATAGCCGGAACTGTCTCGCCCGACCTAATCTTGCTGGAGCTCTGACTAAGGAGCAGCTCGTCATAATCCGAAACGCCGGCAACCGTGAGCTCGAGGCGGTCAGGAGGGCAAAAGCAGCGACTGACAAAACGCGAGCAGCCAGTCTCGCCAGCACTAGATCAGGAAGTGCGAGCAGCCCAGGCTTGTCCGCCTTATCACCCGCATTAGTCAAACGACTGATGCCACCCCCCGTTCATGAAAGGCGCCTCACGGCGTCGTTCATCCCTACCAAAGCTCAAGTTAGTGTCAATAAATGTTGGTAGGGGGGTCCAACGCACGACATTGCGCTTTCTCGAGATTTCGAGAGAGGCATTGATGTTGTGCTTGTACAGGAGCCTTGGTGGTCCAGCGAGACAAAATCTCACCCTGGATACACTCTGCACATCCCGCACGGCGGGATAGGCGTTCGGCCACTAGCCGTAACGTACACTCGAACGAAGGAGAAGGAAATATTTACCAAACAAATTTTCCCATGTTCTTCGCTGACCGGAGACTACTGCTGGGTAGTTGTCAACAATGTCACATTTCTCAATGTGTACAAGGCGCACATTATCGACGCAGCAATCGAACCAGTAATCAACTAGGCACCTCCGCCAGCATCAATAATTGCAGGCGACTTCAACTCCGTTTACTGGGCACGGCAACCGGATACAACGCGCTCGTATGGTCACAGTGAGAAAATACAGGCCTGGGCTGAGCAACACCGCCTCACTTGTCTTATTGTTGGAACAGTAGTCATGTGCACTCTGGTAATGGGTTGAATATGTATTAACCTATTGTAGCAGTAGTACAACTTAAGTAATATTCTCTTGGCATTCTTACATGACACCAAGAGGATTTGAATAGATAGATAGAATGAATATATGTGAATATTATTGTATCGTTTTATTGAATCTATTTATTGCCTTTTATTTACGCGCGTATACCATATTGTACCAACACTTATCATTGGGGAGCCTATGCATCGAGCCGGAAATACGCTTGATCTAGTATGGACAAATATCGCGGGGCACAGGCGTGGGTAGAGCGGAGTGAGTGCGTGACAAGCGACCATTTTTCTATCTTCGGCTTGGTAACTAGTAAAAGTCATGCAGATGAAGAATGTCAAGGCTCACTGCGAGTCTCGAAAGAAAAGCTTCCGGACTTCGTACGAGCAGTATCTCAGTGGATCTCAGCTCCGCAATCCTTGGTGTCGACTAGCGATATTGAGAAATACGCAGAAGCGATTTATCAGGCCTTAACAGACGGATTGAAAGCGTTCGGAAATAGACGAAGTCAAGGAAGCGGTAGGTCTGCGCCCTGGTGGACTCCAAAGTGCAAAGAGGCTCATCTTAACTATCGCTCGGCATATATCGAGGAAGAGCGGACTACCTACGCCAAAATCCTGAGGTCTACAGTAGCATCAGCCAAGAGAGAGCACTGGACGTGTGACGCTTGCAGGACTTTGTTTAGGAGGCTCTGTAACTTGAACCGGATCGGGTGGGTTGGTATGGCTGCTTGCAGTCTTTTGGGGAGCGTAGGCGTCAACTTGAGATGGGTTGCCCCACAGAATTTCCGAGATCTTGCCCTGAAGGGCCAATAAATCCTGGTCAAAGAGTTTCCGAAGTCTCTCGTCGGTGACTGGTTCCAGCAGCTTGCAAAACCCGATGATAAAGCGCTCCGCTTGTGCAGAGCGCGTGTGGAATATCCTGCCCTGTTCGGCGAGGATATCGGTCGCGACAATTTGAGGCGACGGAGTTGAGTTGTTGGGTGAGTTTTGATGACTCGCCTCGTAGATTGGCTCTACGACTTGTTGTGTGGGTGGAATAGATGGATGTTGTGGCCCGTTCAGGACCATTTCGACGTCTTAACGCGTCGAACATTGAGTAGGGAGGGGGGGGGCAGGGGCCAGCCTCTGCGGAGGACTGGGGCGGCATGATTGATTGAGAACTAAGTGTTGCAGTAAAATATCGTAGGTGGAATGCGATGTGTGCCTGCCCTTGCTAGTTCGCTTGTAGACCGTGTTAAAAGTTAGCATTGTTGAGGTAGTTATGGTCAAAGAGGGCAATACGTGCAGCTACGATAAAGTAAAATGATACAGATGAGACTCGTAGTATATTTCATTAAATGTCCGTTTTGCCTCAGGCATGTAGCAAGAACATTTAGTATATGGATTAGCTATAGATAGAGGGTTGGGTATCGAAGAGTTGGAAGCTAATTCGAGAGCCCATCATTATCATTATACGATCTTTATTTACGAATCAGAATGAGTTTACTCGATCCGTCTTCTGTTGACTACGGCCACGCTCAGAGATATCCGAGACGTCTATCCGAATTTGTAACAGACCGATCACGTAACCAGTATGCAGCGTATCAAAGTTTGTCCCAATTGAGTAGCTATGCCGTTTGTCCTATATCAACAACCCTTCTCTCAAACTGCACACAGTACTACACGTAATGCCGTTATGTAAACACTGGATCTTCTTAATGCGCCATAATGCCATACTGCGATAATAAGTACATATGCACCAGTTACTAGATCTACCATACTACATAGCTAAGCATAACACAATGGTGACCCGCGGAGATGGTGTATTGGATACTGAGTGCGTGTAACTCTGGCAAATAGGTGTCAGTAGCTATCAGATGTGAGCTCTCACTGATAATGGTGATCAATGAAGGTGATGCTAGATGTGCATCCCGACGATTGAAAATATCATCTAATGGATGAGGTGAAGTATGATGTTATATTGGATAGATTGATTCACTAGACTCGGCAGGTGAAGAGATTGTAAAGTACAAGAACAGCGTCTATGCAGCAGCCTGTCCTCCACTCCCCTATCTCCTAACAACTCAACTGATCCAGCACAACAATCAGGACGAGCTCCAGAGTCATAGTGGCCCTTCTGAAGCGTTAGAAGAGGCCGGCTAGCTGGGTACCTTGGGAAATTTATTCTCTGCATTTCTAGCCTCCTTTCAACTTCTTCCCGAAGGTAGTGGTGAAATGTCAGAAAAGTCTTGACAGAGCGTGATTGCTGTATAGTAGCTCAGCCCAACTTCTTCTATGCCGTCCAGGGCTCGGAGGAGTGTCGTTGACTCATCGACAGAAGAAGCCCTCCTGGCCAATTTGGCGAAGCGTTGGTCTTGGCGCCCACAATCGTTCCCAGGAAAAAATCCCCTCAAAAACGTCAGTCCCAGCATGGTCGTTAGAGGCCTCTTCCCTCTTTCGCTCGACTTATCAGCCACGTGTCCTCTCTCAAGTTTTTTGTCCAATTAGAGCAACAGCCCCCCACATACCTGGTCCTCAGCTTTGTATTTTTCGACTAGATTTCCTCCTTGCGGGTATAGGTAGCGGTGTAAATTTGTAATAAGATGACTGGAAATCAATTGGGCAAGCTCCTGTTTGCAATAGAAGCAACTTGTTTATTGGTCGTTGAGACGAGATGATGCGTGATTAGAAAGAGGTTGAGGAGTCAGATAAGAATGATAAGAGAGGCATTGTCGAGAAGTTATTAAATGGAGATGTGTTTGTAGTTGCTTTCGACTTCGATTCGGATGCGATTCTTCTTGGCCAACCCAGATATGCAAAGCATACTGAGCGATTACATCGACACCACTGGAAGGTGGAGAACTCGTCTCTCCAGCTTGTAGAGAGTTGAGGACGAAAGCGACAGCAGGGATGTTTGGGATTCCTCATTCCAACGAGGAGGAAAGCGATGCTTAATCGCAGCTCTGCAGTAGGAGCTGGGGACACGGCCGAGAGATGCTGAATTTGTGAAGGCCCAGAAGATAGATAGGCCAAGGCTACTGCCCAGCTGATGGAAAATTACTCACTTTCAATGATGAAATTCAGATTGCACTAGTCAAATAATTATTAAAATATATGTGTTTTATGCAGGGCTTGGCCTACTCACCCACTTGGCAAAGCTTGTCAAGGAATTGGACAGACGTATTTCAGCGTGAATTATTTCAAAGAGTAAAAATTGATTTGCTAAAAGTAGATTTTCTCCAATAAATAATCACATAGTCTTTGTTTACAGTCTGCATCACCCAGATAGTCGAGCAACCTACCTTTGACTCCATCTACAGAAACATTGGTACTGAATACTATCAACACATTTCTATCACTACACTTTGATATCTAATCATCAATCATCCATTGAGCCTCTCCAATAACTCCTAGCAGCTTGTTATTTTGAGTCCAGAGTCTAGACCTGCGAGACGATATTTTCCAAATGAAGTTCCCTAGCGCTACTTCCACGTTGGTATTTTCTGGTCTTTATTTGTCAGCCTCGGCTTCTCCAATGAAATCATACTTTTTATGCAGTGAGGGTCGAAAAATATCATTACCGCCAATTGATAGTCATGAAAACTCTGAAATTTATTCCGATGCGCAACATGGTGATCCTTTGGGACCGAATGGGGAGCAATGCCCGGCATACCGATATACAGTGACAGGAATTGATGGAAGTTAGTTTTTCTTCATCTTACCTGTTTTTTGTTTTTTTTTTTGCATCAATTTTCTCCTTCTAACCTAGCCATCACTAATGCAACATGTCTGTGACCAGGCACCATTATGACCTTGATTCAATTAACTTCTGTTGGTCCCTTTAACCAAGTCTTTGAAAGAATCGGGGGATCTTGGCAATAATGTCCGTACTACCTACGCGAATAACAGGCAATAAATCGGCGTAGTGGTTTGTGTCAAGCCAAGAGCTGGTACTAGAACTTCGTGAGTACCTCCTTCACAACAGAATACAGATAAGAAAATAGTCTGCTAATATTGCTTTCTCCTGTTCCAGGACCAGCTATTCTTTCAATGAACTCTTCACGTCTCTTACTACCTCCCGGATCGACGCAGCCCGCTACTTCGGGGACAAATACCGAGAACTTAGCTCGGCTTGAGCAGTGTATATACACGATGGGAAGTTCAATGCGATATTACCAAGTTTTCTAGACAGGATATTATTGTTTTAATTTTGTTTATCATCGACGTAGGCAAGCTTTACTCTCTCCCCACTCCAATGCCAGCTTGGGCAAGAGTGGAGTCGGGTTGCATCTGGGGGTATTTTATTTTATTTTATTACCCTGTCTCAGTCTATGACTGGAGGGCAAGACTGAACACCTATACGCGGTGTCCTCTACGAACCTGGGAGTGAAATATTCTCTCAGAGCCAAGTTCAGTCAAATTTCGCCATATCAAAGAAGTTCGCCCACGAGGCAATGATTCAACTTACTCTACCACGTCGTTTTTTCGCTCCCAACGAGTTTCACGCTTACCTAAATCTCATCAAGTCTACAAGTACGACTTAGTACATCCTCATCCCAATGACCGTACCTCTCGTCGACTTTCTCTGGCCTCAGTTGACCACCAAATACACGCCCACGCCGATATTTATGCTCGACGGAGGAAGCAAAGCGTGGCGCACAAATCTGAGAGATAGCTCTTTGGGGTGGACGTGAGAGGGATTAGGACAAGTTGACAAGATGATGCGAAGGAAAGATATAACTTCGAAGGGGGTGAAATTCCGAATTTTGACAAGGAGTTTTACGAATTGAGCTCTGTGCGCGCCAAGACTCCGCTTGCGAGAGTGCAGCTAACACTATAAAAACAAGCAAATGATGGAAGGTGTTGTAGTCTGCCTCCCGGTGGTGTTCTCCGGTATAGTTTGAGTAGCCTGGACACCTACTCCACTTGGGAAGGAGACATCTCAGATTACATTTCGCGCAGAGAAAAGTTGAAAGATGATGGAGGCATGTCTGGATAACCCAGGGTTTTTGAGATGTTCCCTGGGTGGGTATTCACGGATGAGGGTTGACTTGGGGTGAAGAAAAAGCTACGATAACTTTGCAGTGGTACTTGCAAATAAAAACTGAGGCATGAGTGCTCTTCCTTTACGTTGAATCATCTGTTCTGTACTTTTCTCCGATATTGTGTCATAGCTAGATAGCTGCATACGCACTTCAAATCTGCTGCAAAGAAAAATTAAAAAAAAATTGTGTCAGCTGCACTCCCCCAAGCGGAGTCTTGGCGCGCACAGAGCTCAATTCGTAAAACTCCTTGTCAAAATTCGGAATTTCACCCCCTTCGAAGTTATATCTTTCCTTCGCATCATCTTGTCAACTTGTCCTAATCCCTCTCACGTCCACCCCAAAGAGCTATCTCTCAGATTTGTGCGCCACGCTTTGCTTCCTCCGTCGAGCATAAATATCGGCGTGGGCGTGTATTTGGTGGTCAACTGAGGCCAGAGAAAGTCGACGAGAGGTACGGTCATTGGGATGAGGATGTACTAAGTCGTACTTGTAGACTTGATGAGATTTAGGTAAGCGTGAAACTCGTTGGGAGCGAAAAAACGACGTGGTAGAGTAAGTTGAATCATTGCCTCGTGGGCGAACTTCTTTGATATGGCGAAATTTGACTGAACTTGGCTCTGAGAGAATATTTCACTCCCAGGTTCGTAGAGGACACCGCGTACAGGTGTTCAGTCTTGCCCTCCATGTGTTGCATCCCTGGCACTTAACAGAGATAAATTTATGTTGGGATATTGAGAAAGTATAGTCACGGGAGTAAGGTAATGCAGATAGTAATATGCGATATGTGAGGAATGTATGGATGTAGGACTAAGGGTGTGTAGTGATAAAGGTGTTATGTACTAATGATGTGGACACCTTTCACTTGACCAACTAGCTGACTAAGCAGCATTTCCTGACAATTTAGAGTAAATGCAATAATCACATGACAGTGCCATCATCCGACCGACGCCACCTGTGAAATCGCCAGATACATGAGACATCGAATTCCAAATGACCCTCGAAGAATATCAGAATCAAGTCGATGAATGGATCGAAAGAGATGTGGGAGCAAAAAATATACTCGTCTTTCGAATGAGCATGGAGATTCGGCCAAAGAATTACAAAAAATACACCGCAAAACAGCTTTATGAACACGCTGCGATGACGCGACAAGAAACAGCAATCACCCCATACGAAATTTTAGGCAGAGCCTTCTTCTCGACGTCATTTACCACAGCCGAAGAATATTGTGACACATTTCTACCGAACCTTTTAACAGTCGATATCGCAACTAAATCTCTTGCAGCTGAAACATTGGACAAGTATCCGACTATATTTATCTAAATATTCAGACATATAATGAACATGGTATGTTTGTTGATTATGATGTGGCTGCGATTGCAGTTGGATGTAAATAATGTAAAGGTCTTTATCAAGTATCTTTAATATATATATATATATATATATATATATATATATATATATATATATATATATATATATATATATATATATATATTTATTTATTTATTATGGACATACCCTCCCGTGAGGTCTACTCTAATATGTACATGTAAATGCCTTCTTTTATAGATATTCCCAAAGTCAAAGATAGAGCACCTATATCCCCTGAGATATATGTTCGATACAGAGTTGTGACCTGCCTCCCATATTAGACGCAAGTCCGAAACTACGTTCTACCATGTCCGTCAGTTCTGTATTAAGTTTTCCAGCCTTCATCTCCGTGCACATATCCTTAATTTGAATTTGAAATCTTTTACGTGATAAAAGTAGATGGGCTCTGAAAGCTCATTGCTACCTACATGACCGGCAGTGGAGCCAGAAGCGACAAAAGAAAAGAGTGAAAAAAAAAAAGAACAGTATGTGTCTGAGTTACGGTGCCCTGCGCCGCATCCCTATCTTCCACACCCATCTACTCTCGGGTCAGAAACAATCTCAGCGTGGTCACCTCCCAACCTGTTCATTCTTCGGCAGACTGTAACATCGGCTTGTAGTTAAGAATTGAATGTACTTCTGCTATCCCTTCTCCCCTATCATTTCCCTGGCCCCAGGTGGGGCCATTTTCTCACAGATTCTCCAACGTAGCAAAGCAGGTCGGCACTCTGAAAAATGCCAGGGCCTTTTCTCTCGACCGCAAACGCATTTCAGATCTTCATGTTCGGGGTTGAAACGTCGATGGTAGTCGGCATAGTCCCCGTGGCCTGTTCTTGCCGCAATAAGACGATGGTACGCCCATCTTGGTAAAGCTTGTTCCGGCGGTCTTTTGCAACGCATGAATAGGTCCAGATCTTTGTATCGTTTCGGTCGATACTTCTGCCACCACTTTTCCACGAGCTCTTGGCTACGCTGTTTAACCCACCTCCCTAATGCCGCAAATGTTAGATCTTGATCTTCTAGAATGGGCGCAGCTGAGGTTAGTGACCGGTTATTGGAAGCTCCCAAGGCTGATTTGGCCAGCTTATCGGCCTCTTCATTGCCTTGAATCCCCAAATGCCCGGGTATCCAGCGTATTTCCACACGCTTATTGTGTCTCAGCGATGAAAACTTGTCCACAACCGACTGCGAGGAGTTAGATCTTCCTCTTTCGAGCGCCTGGGTGGCCGCTTGGTTGTCAAGAAGAATGCAGATCAGTAAGTCTTTTCCTACCTCTGTTGCAGCCTTCAAGGCTTTCATGGCACCTACAACTTCTGCATCGAATACCTCTGCTCCGGGAAGTGGACCGGAGCCACTCCCAACTAGCTTGCCTCCATGGTATACTACATACCCCCAAGCTGATTTTCCGGGACCCGATGATGATCCATCAGAGAAAGCGAAGACTGTGTTAGCTGGGCGGGAAGCTAACCACCGCTTTATGCTTCCAGACCTAGCCTCATTTTCTCGACTACATGGAATCGATGCTGGAGTGCCACGTGGGAAGTATAGCTTTCCGGGGCCTTCGGCTGTCGGAACTCGACGCACACTCATTTGTAGGCGTGTCATGTACCGTTCTGGTTGTCTAAACAAACGATTTCTTTGTCCCGATCTAAGACCTAAGCGCCTTAATGTCTCTTTCGGATCCTCAGCCGCCCGAATGGCTAGAGGGTGCCAGGCATCCATTCTTCGCATACGAGCTGCAGACCGCAGCATCTTTTGCTGAAGAATTATCGATGCCGGGGGTATTCCCGCTTCACGATGAAGAGCAACATTGGGAGTGGTACGCCACGCTGGGAGTGCTACTCTAATAGCTTTCATTATCGTTTTTTCCAATAGAGATATGTGCCAGCCTACTCCAGTGCCGACTTCTTTATCTCGCAGTGTGGTTATTCGAGTGAGACCTAGCCACCACGCTTCTGCCCCGTATAGAGCAGTACTCAGAACACATGAATGTACCGCACAAATCAAAGGTCCGGGTGCTGCACCAAATTGAACTCCGTTTATATGTCGTAAGAAATGGAATAGACGATTGGCTTTTCCAGTCCATTCCTGTACACGTTGCTTGAAGTTTAGCTAGGTATCAAGCCAGATTCCTAGCCACCGGATATGAGGTGAAGGTTCGATCCGGCGATCTTTCACTAAGATGGAAACATCAGCCGCGTTGATTTCCTTTCTAGGCCCTCCTCCGGTCACTAGAAGTTCTGATTTTGCTGGCTCAAAATCGATCCTGTGTTCTCTTGCGAGAAAGATAAGGCTGTCGAGGTCGTCTTGAACTGCGGAGATAGAATCCGCCGCGGTGTTTTCAATTCTGACAATAGCTACATTTTCAGCAGAACCAAACCTGCTCGTTAGACCATGATTCTCAAAAAGCACAGCGATATAGAGCATGAAAAGAAGTGGCAATAGTGGCGAGCCCTGAGGTAC